TACTGAAGCTCGCATTAACCTCAATTACGTAAAAGCAATCCGAATTCAACGCAGTTGTTGCTGTTTTTGCCGAATTTTGCTTGCTCAACAGCAGAGCGTTTGTACAATACAAACAGCATAAAACAGATGCGATGACATACAGCACATCCACACAGCGAACGGAAAATAAGCATTGAATCGTATGGCGCCACGTCCAAGAGATGCTACCTATGGAGCCAATTTCATAATTTGGGGTCGGGTCAAAAAAATGTAAATTTTAAGCGTAGTTCTGGCCCATATGGGATGTACATCTTTTCGCTATCAGCCTCGTTTTCCGGCCGCCTAAGTCAAGAAGACTTACTTACAGAGATAGCGTATTTTCAGCAAGAGTTAAGCACTGGCGGATAATGGTGATGCATGCAACTTAACGTTGTGTGGCAAATCTGTCACGCAATGACAGACAGTCCGGCCCACCACGGTCGTTTCGCCCTGCAACCTGGCAGATATGTTAATCCTATTCCTAGAGTGATGCCGTAAGTACCAGGCACTGGAAGGCGCAAGAAGAGCTGTGCAGATATCAAGATGAGCAGCACGACAGTTGGCATGGGCATAGGGGAAAACAGGACCTAGGCGAATTACGCGGCGACGGCAAGGAGCCGTGAAGGTGTTCGTGTTAGCGCTAGCCAAGACAAAACCGAGTTTAACGCCAAGACGAAAAACCGGCTACTAATGGCGAGCGTGTCATTAAAAATGTTTCATGTGATGATCATCGCTGCATTCGTGCTAGCGCTACAGTTGAGCGCACTTAACGTAGGCTTGTTCTGATCGAACCACACTGCTAACAGGCCTGGTGTTATCTATAACCTGGGGATGCAGACATCCCTCGAGTAGCCCGAACACTACGGCCTGCGCTGTCCGCGGCTCAGGCACTGGTTTTATTTGGCTACTGCGGCATTGGTGTCGACCCAATGCTGGAGGCCAACGCATTTCTGCTTCACTTGGCATGCTGTTATGATTATTATTACATTATTGTGGGCATACTATCTGAAATCGCTGTAAAGATAGATAGAGACTGGTAACGCTTCTCTGCGGCACCCACAACTGCCAAGACAGCAGGAGTTCGTGGACATGATCGCATAAATTGAGTTTTATGAGCAAGACCATTCCGTAACCATGTATGCCTTATTCCGCAACGGTGGGACATAACTCTCCAAGGCATACGACTGACGGAATGGGGCATAGCTTCACCCATAAAGTCGTCCTACTGACGGAAAAGGGATTTGGTACAAGAGTGCTGCTTTGGGCAGTTTGAGAATACTGGGAGAGTATTCGGAAAAGCGAGACAGATGGGTGCCTTGGAGGAGCACTGGAGGAGTCAAAGGGAGAATTCTCGATGGAGTAATTGAGGAATACATAAGAGACCTCTGGGGTATGAGTTTCGGCGACACGGGGACATATATCATGAAGGGATGAAAGCGACGTGCCAAAACGTGATTCGAGGAGGAGCTACATCGCGAATAGATAACATATCCTCGCCAATTATATTACCTCGGTATCGCTTACAGGGCGCGCGGTTCAGCATCCGAGACGACGCTGTTTCAAGAATTGTACATCGTGCTGGAGGCTTGAGCCCAACGAATTTGACCCTATCTTTGCATTTTGTAGGCGACAGTCCTCTTCAGCCAGTTCTAGCGACACAGGGCGTCGTCAGCGTCCTCGCATCACACATTCCGCAGAATGTCTGAGCAGTTGGCTTACCTCGCGCGGGTGGTTGGTCTCAGCGTGGTGATCCCTCCTGGGTCCCCGGCTGTGTGCGCGACCCCGGCCGGCCCCGGCCTGAGGTCAACCTCGGCCCGCCGCCAGCAATGGCGACGCCAAGCAATTGAGACGGTGCGGCCCGGGGCCTGCGTCAGGCCCCGGGCCGCACAGAGGCCCGCAGGGCTGCGCGGAGGGCGGCGCTGGCCGGGGCCAGGCCAGCCGGGGCCAGGGCCGGCTCGCGTATGCGGTGATCAGTGGGTGGGATGGGCGCCAAGTCCACACCCCCGGCCACGGGGCTGCTGTGTCCGCCCCTGAGCGCGCGCGCTCGGGGCCCCGCCGGCTGTCTGGGGCGGCGGCTGGCGGCCGCATGGAGGGGGGAGGGGGAAGGGCCTTAGGGCGCATCGACTGCACAGATGGCGACCACACGTCCAAACATGGCTGCGATATGAATATGACGTCAGGGACTTCGTGACATTCATCGTGCTTCATATGCTGCTTGAATATGTTTTGAATCGCAGTGATATGTTTGACATCGTAGTGGATACATTGTAAAAAAAAAACAGGTGGGGTGAGAGGTTTTCAAAATCGAAGGTCTTCTGATGGTCAGTGCGATATAACGAGCACAAACGGACAAAATTCGTATCAATTGGACGTGTCGTACTCGAGATGCTTCCGGACCAGTTAATGGAATCCAGACCAGGTATCACCGTGCTCCGTAGCACAGGGGTCACCGCGAAGGTCCACCTTCCTCGTCTTCTTGTCCCTGTTCTTACGCTACTGCCTTCTAGGTCCTGAACCCCCAACTTTTTCCCAGCCACCGGCCGTGGGCTTTGGGGTTTGCTGACGCCGGTTGGCGTCCGCGCCGGTTTCGAACCCAGATCTTCCGTCCCCAGCCGGATCTCCCGTCGACCGAGACTTCAGCCTCCAGGCCTGCCCTGACGAAGCGGCCGGCGGTGTTTCAGAGTCTGAAGACGCGCCTGGTGGAGGTGTGCCTGGACGGCGGCATGTTCTCGGACGTGCTGTTTCAGCTGGACGACGGTACTGCTGCCGCGCACCGGCCGCTGCTCATGGCCAGGTGTGAGGTCATGCAGGTCATGTTCGCCGGCAACTTCCGGGAGAGCAAGGCCAAAATCGTGAGTGCAGCTCTGGCAGCGCTATGTCATTTGTGCACGCCGTGCGCTGGTACGCGGTTTTCTATGCTTGTGTAACCTCGTTGTGTTGCTGACGCTTACAGTGTAGCTCGGCCATCTTCATGTGTGGTACGATACGTGAACGTCAAATAGGGCATACAGCTGGAAATATGGTGGTTACAACTTACAGACGTGCAGCCATTAAACACTTGTAGGGTGGAAGACACAACAGCATCTGCATGGCCAGCCAGAGGCGTGTTGTCTGCCGTATGAAACTGTTCAGTAGCGCTTGTCTGCCACCGCTGTTTGGTTGTTTGGGTGTTAACACACTATATTTGCGTTGAAAGGAACCGGTGAGGCCTGGCATAGGGCTTCACGCGCTTGGGGCTCTTCATACAGAGTTTATGTGTGAAGATGAGGTATGACTGACCTGAACTAAGAGAGGACGAAGCGGCGTGGGTGACAGCCGGGCAGAAAGAAGAATCCAGACTTACCAATGTTTCAACCGTAGGCCATCTTCAGGTTGAGGTTAGAGTTGGGTTAGATAAGAAAAAAGAGTGAACTGCCACAAAATACCAAAGCGGAAAGGCGAATGGAAAGAAGGGAAAAAGTTGCTTCGGTGCCTCGTGGCGACTCATACCTCTTTCCGTTCTAACCCAACTCTGCCCCTCACCTGAAGATGGGCTAGGTTTGACACACTGTGGGTCTCTGTTCCTCTCTGTGCTCGGATTTCACCATCGCGGCACCGTCTTCTCTTGGTTCAGTTCAGTCAGCCGTTGCGCTCGCATGGGGATTGATGGTGATTTTAACTCCAATACATCAATATGCCGTATAAGATACAGGAGGCCTTCCGCCAGCTGCGCATTCCCCACACGTCCGATTATTTGGAATCTTCCTTCAATGGTAGTGGCAGCCAGTGATGCTGCTTGTTTATCCCTGATCTGCCTGTAGCAAGCAAAGCCCGTCCGGACAGCCCAGTCGGTCAGGGTGCCGATCTGCGGCTGGGCTCGAGTCGTTTCAGCCCCTCGCTGTTTGCACTGACAAGGACTGTGACTCGGTCACGCTAAAGGTCAGGTGGCGCCAGAGGCCGTTGACTCGGAATCTCACGATCGAATGGTGGAGGTCAATGGTGGATGTCACAGCTCAGGCAGCGTTCGCTGCTTTGTGTGGGCGCTGATTCCACAAACCCCATCCAATCAAAAGGCCGGAACTTAGTCTAGGGAAGCTTCGATGTACAGGAAGTGGCCCTGCATCTCCTTATGTCCCCTCACCCGCTCGGAACTTCTAACGTCGCGTATATCCTGCTGTAGCGCCATTCTGCTGTTGGCGTCGAGCACAGCTGCACTGCCGACGTCAGCGTTCGCGGAACGCGCTGACTCCGGCCTCCCCGCTCCGGCAGGTGTCGCTGCGTGACGTCACAGAGTCCACCTTCCGCGTGCTGCTGCACTTCATGTACAGCGACTCGGTGCCCGCCATCCGGCCACAGGAGTGCCTGCCGCTGCTGCAGCTCAGCAACCGGCTGTGCCTGCAGCGGCTGCTGACGCTGGTCGAGCGCACCACGGCCGAGCAGCTGGAGCAGGCGGCCGCCGACGGCCAGGACTGCGTCGAGCTGGTGCTGGCGCTGCTCGAGCCCGGACAGGTGTGTCGCTGCCGCCGCCCCCCCCCCCCCCGCCCGGCCGGCTCTGGGGCTGCGACATGGGGGCCCCCATTAGCAGTCCCAGCCGCCTCCAGTGGGACGTGGCGCCCAGCCGAAGTAAGACACTCCGTTTGTGCTGTATTTGCAAATAAGGAGGAGCTGCATTCTTCGGCTTCAGAATGGTTAAGCTGCAAGAGACGATAGACAATGGCTACCAAACGTCTGCCGGTGAAGCAGAGGCCTTGACCGGTCAGCGGTCGCCGTGAGGTCCAGCTGGTTCTGGATCATTCGGCCAGATATCCAGCTGAGGCGAGCCGGGTGGCTGCGGGACCGCTGAGCCGTGGAGCTCACTGGGCGTCGTCACTGCGTCACGCGTGCATCTGTGACGTTGGTGTGACGGTCGGATTTCCGGATGGTATCGCCCCAGTCGACTTGAGCGGGATGTTTTCCGTGGTCCGTTTCGAAAGATCACATATAGGTTTATTGGCGAAGGCGATTTCAGATAAGCCGTCAGCTTTGGCATAAAATGACAAGAAGCGAAAACCCGCGGCGGATTCGCGATTTCAGCAATGCTACGGTCATGCAGGAAGCTGAAGACAAGCTCTGTTCTCGCACATTTCAACTCAGGCTCACCGCCGATCTCTGAGAACCATCACAAAACACTAACTCAAGCACAGCGACCCAACTCCCGCTGTGAGCAATGAGCTTGGCGGCGCATGAAGCAAAAATAAATAATATTGGTTTCTTCAGCACATGAGTAAATGGACAAGTATGGTCTGTGCACTGTACACGATGAATCAACGAAACGCCCACGCCTAGGGCGGGCTAGGCTTTCCACAGCGTACTTCTCCCGCGCGCCACGCAAACGCCAGCCGACTGCCGCACCTGACTAGCGCGCCCTAGTCAAACATCATATCACGGGGCAAAAGGACGTCCGACAAGGCGTACAGCATGCGCACGTACCAGTGCACGCCAGGCGAGGGCGGGGCGCGCCTGGCCGCGGCCACACCGCCGTCGCCTCCGCTCAACCGACGCCACACATGCGCCGCCCACTCTCTAGCGTTCACCGCCCAGCGCGCCGGCAGCAGCGCCCAGTGCGCCAGCTGCTGCGAGTCCACCTGGGCGTAGCCACGAGGCGAACGCGCCGTTGGCCAACACGGTACCGTGTCGCGTGAGCGGCGCGAACACGCCCTTCAGTTCCACGGGCTGCGCGTCCACCACGCGCTCGGCCTCCACGCGCCCGCCGTCGCCCACCAGCACGAAGTCGCCGGCGATGACGCGTCTCGCGAATGTGACGCGAGCGTGTTGCGCTGTGACGTTGCCGGCGGCGGCGCTGGCTGCGTCCAGCACGTACAGCAGGTGGCCAGGCGTGAGGGCCAGCCGGCGCCCAGACGCCGTCGTCAGCCGGTGGAAGAGCCGTCGCTCCGCCGGGTCGCGGTCCAGCCAGAGGATCACCTCGCTGTCGACCACGGCGCCGCTCTCGTCCACCGCCTTGACGACGTCGCCGCGCCGCAGCTGGTCGAAGCGGCGCCGCCGGCCGTCGGCCAGCGCGGCCTCCGTGTCGCCGGAGAAGCAGCCGCCGTACCGGCCGGCTGCCACAGACTCTGCGGGACGGCAGACGAACGGGCGAGGTCAGCACGACGGCAGAGCAGAGGACACGACGAGGCAACACGGCGACAACTGGTTCTGCTGCGGCCCCAACGTGAGAGCACCAACAAAGCGTGCATTTGTAAGCAGTGCGAAGTCAGGGATATCAAAGATGACATTTGGGAGGTCTCAGAATACGATTCTGGCATCATCCACGTCGCCAGAAAGCTGTGAAATTCCTTCTGATTCACCATCAAGCTTACCAGCAACGAAATGTTAGCATAGACGTATCCACGTGCACCACATGTACGGAACGCCGATGTTCGTTGACCAATGTTCGTGAGCAGATGCTTGTAAGCGCAACCACCAATGCAAGTACCCGTATTACTCGTGTGTGCTCGCTCTTATGCTCTTAAGCGCAAGGGTGTTACCCGTGTGTTGACGCTAGGGTACAATGTTCATGATTAGTCATTTTCAGATAAAATAACTATTCAATTTTCACGATTGCTCATGGCTCAGATGTCTGAAAGCATAAACCCCTGTAGCTGGTAATGCAAGTACCACAGTGATTCCTATCGCAGGCGCCTATCGATACAAATGCCCGTACATGCAATTGTTCGGAATCTGTGTCGTTCGTTTTGTTATTGTCCGTCGATGCTTAAGTCCACGCTTTATATGCTCGCATTACGCCGCCAACATTCGTGTCACCAATAGAGGGATCACTTATGTTCATTTCTCATGATAGAGGGAGGAGAGGGGGAGAGAGAGGAAACAGGAGATATACAAAGGAGAGAGGAGATAGAGAGAGGAGATAGGAGAGGAGGAGAGGAGAGGAGAGAGGAAAAAGGAGAGAAAAGGAGAGAGGAGAAAGAGAGGAGAGAGAGGAGGGAGAGAGAGAGGAGAGAGAAGAGAAAGGAGAGAGAGAGAAGAGGAGAGAGGAGGAGAGAGGAGAGAGGAGCGAGAGAGAGAGAGGAGAGAGAGAGAGAGAGAGGAGAGAGAGAGAGAGGAGAGAGAGAGAGGAGAGAGAGAGCGAGAGGGAGAGAGAGAGAGAGAGAGAGAGGAGGAGAGAGGAAGAGAGAGAGAGAGAGAGGAGGAGAGAGGAGAGAGAGAGAGAGAGAGAGGAGGAAAGGGGGAAGAGGAGAGAGGGAGAAGATATAAGAGAGAGAGAGAGAAGAGGGGAGATAGAGAGCGATAGAGGGAGATAGAGATAAGAGATAGAAGGAAGAGAGAGAGGGAGAGAGAAAAGGAGAGAGAAAGTGAGAGAGAGAGAGAGAGAGGAAAGAGAAAAGAAAGGGAGAGAGAGAGAGAGAGAGAGAGAGAGGAAGCGAGAGAGAGAGAGGGAGAGAGAGAGAGAGGCAGTGTAGAGCTTCACTCTGGGTCTTGTTTGTACAAATGAGCTTGAATAATGCAAGGTAAACCGCACGCATACCACGGAGAACATGCCAGCCCGCATTTGTCGGAATCCGTCTCACATCAGCGGCCTGTGGCGCTCAACATGACGTCTGCCCTAAAAGTAGTGACCCCGTGGCGCGGAAAAACGCGTTGCCATGACAACCGATGTCGTGTGCCAAGCCTCGGCCGCCGCACGCACGATGCCTTCAGGGCTGTCGCAACGCTAGCCTTTGGTGGGCTGACACTGGGGTAACGAGGAGGCCGCCCACACAGCGACCGATGGAAGGATCTGGTCTCCAGGAAAGACCGACATCCAGCCTGTTTCAATAGCCATTGTCATGTGTGCTCTGTCCAACATATCACCGGGTTGGGTTTTTCCATCCCGACTCCAGTTCCGTTCAGCACGATGTCGGATCCGTCCATCCCTCCCCTGCTCTAAAGGGCCCGCTCCCAGCTTTGCCCAGCCAAGGTTCAATCTTAACCAGACCGTCCCCCGGCTCCGTCCAGCCCGCTCCCGGCTCCGCCCAGCCCGCTCCCGGCTCCGTCCAGCCTGCCCGGCCTCCGTCCAGCCCGTCTCCGGCTCCACCCAGCCCGCTGCCGGCTCCGTCCAGCCCGGTTCCGGCTCCCTCCAGCCCGGCTCCGGCTCCACCCAGCCCGCTGCCGGCTCCGTCCAGCCCGTCTCCGGCTTCACCCAGCCCGCTGCCGGCTCCGTCCAGCCCGGCTCCGGCTCCCTCCAGCCCGTCTCCGGCTCCACTCAGCCCGCTGCCGGCTCCGTCTAGCCTGCCCTGGGCTCCGTTCCAGCCCGGCTCCGGCCTTAACCAGGCCGCCTCGGCGCGGGCTTCGGCGGCCGTCGGTTGCCATTAACCGGCCGCCAACTGGGCGCGATTAAGTGGGCGCCCGAGGCGGCCCCGCGAGCGCGGGGCGGCGCGAGACCCGCCGCCGCCTTAATGACGAGAGAGAACGCCGCGCGGCCCGCAAATCAGCCGGCAATTAATTAGTATGCACCCGTGGTGGTCGGCCGGAATAGCAGGGCGGCTGCCGTTTGGCGTGTAAATCTAGTTATTTGAGGCCGTTCATCGCCGGCCACAAAGCGACACGCTGTTTGCAGGCGCGGCGGGCGGTCCAGCCGCGCGGCCCAGGTGCGGCGGCGCCGTCCGAGCCGGTCTGCTGGTGTCGGTCCCGCTGGGAGGTGCCGTCGAGCCGGTCTGTTGGTGTCGGTCCCGCTGGGAGGTGCCGTCGAGCTGGTCTGCTGGTGTCGGTCCCGTTGGGAGGTGCTGCCTGAGCCGGTCTGCTGGTGTCGGTCCCGCTGGGAGGTGCCGTCCGAGCCGGTCTGCTGGTGTCGGTCCCGGTGGGAGGTGCCGTCCGAGCCGGTCTGCTGGTGTTGGTCCCGCTTGATTGGTACCACACCAGCGGCAGCGAGACGACTGGCAGCCTGGCGGGACCTCGAGCAGGCCGCGAGCGCCGCGTCGCCCACTTCGGCCGCGCTTCGGCACGGGTGGCGCCTTAGACCGCAGTGATGAACGCAAATTAGTCCCGAAATGCAACGCCAGTGGCCTCTGTAATACATCTAGCGCGAATGCGAATCATGGCGGCCAAATGAGCCTGGAACGCCAGGCGCGGCTCGGAATCCCGAGGCTGTTGTAGCGGGGCGCCCTGCGCCACATTCGCTGTCCGGCGGTACCCTCGCCGGCTCACCTGTCCCGGGCCACAGCTGACCGGACCGCGAGACGATGGCTGGCGACAATGCGGGCGACACTGGGAGGTGCCGTGTCCACAGAGTGGAGACTTATCGGTCGTGACACCGATCAGGGGTGTGAACGCCGATGGAGTAATGCACGTTGACATTGGACGAGGGGGATAAGTGATGCATTCAAACACCCGTTCAGTGGTGTTAACATCGATCAGTTAACACGCGATAACACCGGTCGAGGGCGTCAAGTGGTACCCGTGGTGGTGGTTACCTATCCGATCAGTTGACACACGATGACATCGGTCGAAAGTGTCAAGTGATGCCCGTGGCTGTGCTCACTTATCCGATCAGCCGCGTCAGCTGATGCTCTTAAACAGGATCAGCTATGTGACCGGATCTACATTTCAAAGCCATCAAAGACGGACTCTGAAAAGTTTTGTTACAAGAGATGTGAGTGTGTCAGTGGTGTTATTGCAGGTTTTTGTTTGTTTTTGTTTACGTTGAGCCGATTTCAATGCAAGCAAAGCTGAATTTGGGGCCAACGTCAGCCCATTTGTTTTGAGGTCAGTCTAACCCGTAGCTGGAATTGAAAGGGGCACAAACGTTGGTTAGAATCAGTAATTACTCAGCAGAATAAAAAATGAATCGTTCGAATGTTTGTGTATGGCCGTTGGACGCGGTCCGGTAATCAATAACGCAATATTCGTAGTATTGTCAACAAAGGTAACAAAAGCGTGCAACGAAAGAAACTTGGTAATTAAACTTTGTGATTGGAGAATTCCCTTTTGCTATTGTTACGATAAAAGCATGCTGCCGAAATATCAAACCAGCTTTATCTCCATTCTCCCGGTTTTGCTCCGAGGAATAAAGCTATTACTTCTGTCTTACCAGCTGATATGAACACTGGCTCGAGTGAAATAGAAAAGAAGCTCTCGCCTATATAACTTATGTTTATTTCTTAATTTCACTGGAAAGTATTCACCCGCTACCAAGCACTTTAGAGACGGAAGACCGCTTACCGCTTTACCGCCTAACGCCTTAGCAAACCAACGGATTACTCCCAAATTGTAAGGTTCCTGATACAAGGCCTATCGGATACCATCGGCTTTGAAGAGGGATTTAGTGAGCCGTAGGGATTCAGTGGGCCGTCAGTATCCGTGGATTCAGTTCACCTCTCATCGTGAAAGTCTCGCATGAAATGGTCGATAGTTACTAGTTCGATATTTTACTTTATGGAAGCACACCACAACCCACCCCCTCCCGCCCTGACTGTCAATTTTTTGGTAACTTACTGAATCTTATGACAAAGCTCGATACTTGCCCCATTATAAAAAATAAGATCTCAGGTGGAGTGTTCAGTCTAACCTATTCCTGAAATGTTCACAAGTCTCTGACTCGGTGGCGGTTGCCGAAGAGGCCACATGATCATCAATCAACTTTCCTGCCAGCACATTAAATTATGCCATAGGTTACTTGTTGTCCGCAGCACTTGCCTTTGAACGGCATAATCAAAGTTTAGCTTCCGGCAGGTAATTCATCAGTTACACCTTTTAATGACTTCAAGACGTCAAGGGGGTAAACACGGCTCTAGCCCACGGGCGTAGCCAAATGAAGGCCTAAAGGGACGGGCCCCCTCCCCCACGCCACCCCCTCCCGCCTGAGCCAAGAGATTTACACTACAAAGTGTGGTTTCGCACTGGGAGAAGATTTGGCTGCCTGCCTGCAGAAACTTTTGGTTGCGTGCCTGCTCTAGCCGTTAAGATAGGAATGTTTCTTGGCGGAACAACCATGTATGTATTGAACATACATTTACCCGCATTTCAAACAGACACAACAGGACACCGTTGGCTTATATCAGATGAAGTGCAAAATGAAATGCTAACACTTGCAAATTCCTACCGACAGCGTAATTGAAATAAAACTGCCAAAACACGGCTCTTACTGTCTGCTCTCAACAGTTAAACCCTCCTAAAATATCCAATAAACTCAATTGCCAGTTCCAGCTCACCGTGCGCGGCAGTATAAAAACGGTACCTGCGCCAAGAAATCAAAGCGGGATGATTATGACCGATTATAGCGTAAGACCATTATGGGGTTGGGCCCGTCTGGCGGCCAGCGGGCCGCCGCCATCGCTCTTGCTGCCGGCGCCGCCGCTCAGTCCATGGGACGCCAGCGGGGGAGGACCGTCCGGCGGCAGCGGCGCAGACACGGCCCGCCGCGTGGGCCATACCTCATTATCCCTCCGCTGGAGCGGGTAACAAATGACCCGGCCAAACGGTTTTGTATTGTATAAGTGATTATGCGGGCGGGCGGCGAGATTACAGCGGCGGGGGTGGCGCCGGGCGGCGGCGAGCGGCGGCGCGCCGGGCGGCGGCTCGCCACCAGCGCTGACCCCGGCGGCTCCCACCCGGGGTATCTCCACTGGCCCGCGCCGGCCACCGCCGCCGAACCGCCAATTTAAATCAATCCGAGCCGGCCTAATGACAGGGCTGGCGGCGGCCGCACCGCTCGCCGGATGCCCACGAATGCCGTGCGCCCGCCTGTGTGACGAAGGGGCGGGCACCTGCGCGCCGATCGCGCTCCTGTTTGAGCGGCTTGTTTGCATTTGGCCGCGCCTCGACTGGCGGCTGGGTGGACGGACAGCGGGACGTCAGGGGACCCGCGGCGGGCTGAGCCCCCGTCCACGCGCCATCTCCCGCCGGCTGGTGACTGGGCGGGCGGACTGAGCAGCTGGCCGGGACTACTCTGGCCCGCAGCTGCAGGGCCCGGGGCAAGCGGGCGTAGTTATCTGCGCACTCTTAGGGAACAGCCCCAAATAATTTACAATCTTAACATTGGGCCTATGACGGTGCCTAGAAAAATGACTAAGAACTCCAAATTTACCGCTAGAGCACCCCTGATCGTCTTTGGAAAGTGTTTTACCAGTTTCCGATCAGTCTGGAGTGCGGGCGTAACCGGGTGATCGCCGGTTACAAGGAATGGCGTCGGTCTCCTTCACCCGTGAGCGTGGAACATTTGAATATGAGGGCGACGTTGCCGCCCGTTTCCTACGCGCGCTGTCTGCGTTGTAGCGCAGCGCATCAGGCCCGCACCACGACAGCAGCCCGCTGCGACCTGGCGCTGCATCAGTGCACCCACCTGACTTGACGGAGCAGTGGATGTGGAAGCGTGACTCGTAGTAGACCCAGTCAAAGCCGGCCTCGACGGCCAGCCGCGCCAGCATGCCGTACTTGCTGCGGTCGCGGTCCGAGGTGGTGATGTCGACGGCGCGACCCTCGTAGTGCAGCGACTGGCGCGAGTGGAGCCGGCCCAGGTCCCAGCTCTCGATGACGCGCACCCGCACGCCCGGCCACTGGTTCATCACCGAGATCGCCAGCATGTCCAGCTTGGCTTGGTGCGCTGGAACGGCGGGCGGGCCGTGTAGCAGCGCGGCAACACGGTAGCAGATGGCTGGCCAGCCATCAAACAGCAACCAACCAGATGGCAACCAGCCACCCCGCCAGAGGTCCAGCCATCCGGGCAAGCAGGTCCCGAGTTAGGCGCTGGAGGTGCGGAGCGCGGGATGTTGTGGATGTTGTAAAATAACGGATTGCGGGAGCCGATGAGCAATGCACACGGAAGGTCAGAAGATTAGGCAAGTGCAGGTCATAATCGAGGCTGAGGGCGCCCGCCACCAGCTTTTTCACGCTGAAATGCACGGTGACCACCCACAGACAATGTCCAGTCACCACAGTAGCTAGACGGAAAGGCTTGGAGTGGACAGTCGCCTCTGCGCAGTGGAACGGCACCGCCGCCGTAGTGAAGAGTGTGACTGCCCAGGCCGGGCGATCAACTGCTTAATGCAGGCAACCATGTTTGTCATAGTCGGGACACGTGGGGATGCTTCTCCATCACGCTCTTGTTTTCCGAGTAAAAATGTTAAAGTGTTGACTAAATACAAAGACGGACGCATTCGCCCACTTTGAGGGGAAAGACTCCACGCCCTTTTAATGCATCTGCAGAAAGGTCTCCAAGACGTTGCCTTTATTATAAATGGATTCGCGGGGACGCGTACACCCGCACGTCATTCTGAACCTGTTTGAAATTCGTTGCTGGAATTGCTCACAATAAGATAAGCATGTTGTTTGAGCATATACAATAACATCATAACTTTTCCATTACCATCAAGTCACAACATCCCCGTATAATAATAGGTTAATGATGCTTACATCACCATACACCATATCGTCTTCCAAATTAAGCATCCCTTTCGACTACACGGCTGACCGAATGGCCGATAAATAACGTCTGATGCAAGGTCATAATTCGAAGCACGCGAAGCGGCTATGGTGGCCACAGGCATGGCGAAATCAATTTAGAACAGCAACGTAATATAGCACAATTGGTGCACGTGCAGCCCGTGTGAAATCAACAGGCCTGGCCTGGGGCGCGCGGTTGCGACAGCGGTGAGCGGCGCCAGTGACAAGCCGCCGCAGGCCGTGTCTGACACGCTTGGTCTCCACAGAGCCGTCCCTAGCCCATCAGCAGCCATGACTCCGAGTCCGGGACCGAGTCGGCGGCACGAGACTCGCGGATCAGACCGGCTGCGGGGCCGACAAACGGGGCTCCGGATCCGGCCCGGCGGTCCAGTGATCTCCATCGGCAGGTCCTGCCGGGCTGCAGAGCCGCACAGGCCTGATTCGAATCCGCCGGCTGCAGGACCGCTGCTTCCGGCGCCGTTTCCGGCGGCCGCGGCCACTCATAGCCAATCGGTTAGCGGGCGCGGGCGGGCAGAGCGCGGCGCCGGCCATTGTGTCCGAGCGCCGGGCCGGGTCAGGAGGTGCAGCTGCGCTGACTCAGCCGGGCCCCGGGCCGGCGGCGCCGGTCACAGCGGCCGGTCCCGCTCGCACCGACGCAGCCGGACGGCGGGCCCCTGACCGGCTCCGGCCAGCAGTCACGGCTGCTCTGCCGGTCGCTCGGCCTCCGGCCAGCGGGCCGCCCGGCCGGCTCGCCTAACCGTCCGGCCGCCGGCAGTTGCGATTTACGGCTAGCTCTGGCCGGTCGGCCGACAGGACATACCGATCCTCCCCCGGCACCCGGCCGCTCGTTACAATTATCAATTAGCATTCTGTCCCATTATGGCGGCCGGGTGGGTTTTGTTTGGCGGAGGGAACACCGCAGGGGGCTGCCAGCAGCGGTAATTGAACACCGCCCGCGCTGTCGAGCAGTTTGTATCGGTGTTAAACAGGTCGGACCGGGCGTGCTCCGCTTGTGTGGTCCTCCAGGATGGCTGACGGCCCTCAGTTACCCCGGTGTCAATGCCGGACTGAGCACAATGCCGGTCCCGACGGGGATGCCAGCATACCGCAATGTTGTGGTAGGCTCGGGGTCTCGCAGTACGTGAGGGCCTCTTGAAAGAACGTCAACACGCCACAAAGCCGACAAATCAACTACAACACAGCGCGCGGCAGACCAACACGGGGCCAGAGAGGGGGCGCGGCACGCTTCAAAGCGCCTCCGTTTCGGTCGCGATCGCGCCGAGACAAACACGCCGCCTCAGCTGTATGGGTCGTGGGCTTCCTCCCGAAGCTGGCTTTTTTACCGGGCCGAGGAGATTGGTCACGGCTGGTCACGATGAGCGGCCGCCGGCGCGTCCCCCACCCGCTCCATTCGCGGCGCGCGACGCTCGGTCGCCACTCAGTCATTAAGCGTCCGGTCCCTCTGAGTGTTTGCAAACAGCTTGTCGGCGGCGGCCTCGAGGTGGGCCGGTATGCGGGGGGCCCGTGTGGGGCGACACGGCGCCGCTGACTGGCCGTGCGGCGGGGGGCGGGGCCGCCTGTGACGGCCGCCTGGCGGGCCGGGGGAGACACTGACAGCCGCCTCGTCATCCTGTGACGGAGCGAGGCTTAGTGTCGGCACCGGCCGCCGCGGCGCCCTTCATCTGGCGACGCGAGCGGGCTGATCTGCCCACCGCGCCCGAGGGGCGGCGCACACCCGCTGCGCGCCGACAGTGACTCCAGCCGCACACCCTCGCGCCGATCGCTTTCCGGCGCCTCCTTTCCCTTTCTGTCGACGAGAACTCGGTTTTCCCAGCGTGGGAATTGTCGGAGTGGTTGTGGCACGTTACATGGAAGTGCATACCGAATCGCACGGGGAAGCGAGTGGCCTCCGAACAAGAATGCTTTGGTAAAATCAAATTTTTAACTTGTTGAAGACTGTGCGCTAGCTTATGTTAAGCTACACACACAACCAAAGCTCGGATATTGCTGTAGTTTATCATCCAATATGTGAGCTTATGTGAGTTATAGGCGCAGAAACGAAAGGTCGCAGGTGCCAATGGTGCCAATGGTGCCAATGCACATTATCCTTGCGAAAATGCTCAACATAAACCCCGTGGCGACACGTGGCAAGAATCAACTTCAAATGGATTTGCCCCCCCCCCCCCCCATTTTCTCAGACGTCACTTCACCTACGAGTTGACTAGTATATCTACACACTAAATCCGCTGCCGCAATTTTTCATGAACATTATGTCAAGTACATCAAACGCGTTATGAGATGCACACAAACAAGCATAGGCACTCAAAATAAATCACATACACTAAATACTTCACGCTAAAAATCACACACATTAAATACTTTAATGATCACATACATATACTTTCACGCTAAAACACAAGCAGATTAAGAAGTATGCATGTTTCTACGCCAAAAGTGCCATGAAATAAATACAATATGCACTTCAAAACGTACTAAACAGTACCACACTCGCATTCCTCCAACACTCGGCCTGCATGCCGCTCTTGAAGTTGTTATGTTCAGTGTTATATAGTTTAAGTAATTGGTGGTAGCTCAATGCGCCCATGCTGGTGAGGTAAGATTAATTGCACTCACCAGCTATTACTTACCAGCACATGCAAATATCATCTAAGGGAAACCAAAGAAGTACTGACAAAAGCGCCAAATTCTACGAAAATTTCGTCACTCAAATTTACTTTGGCCATCGGTATCTACCCCTTAAGACTGAACACTTTTTAGGCAAAATTGTGGGCGCATTTGATAAGAATCACGGCAGCAAAGCCTGTATCCCCTGGGCATCTTAGCATACTCAGGACCAAGGGAACCAACCCTCTTAAGTCAGCTGGTGCGAAAGCTAGCGTGTAATTCATGTGTGACTCTTAAGTTATCATTACAAAATGCGACTGCAGGGCGGTGCGACACACGTGCACCAGGCAAAATATGGGAACCCTAGACGCGTCGCGCAAAAACTTCTGCGTTTACTAACTGACCCTCATTTGCATTCCACCGGCGGCATGGTATCGGTAAGGCCTCCTGTGCACAGTCCGGCGAACTCTACTCCACACCTCTACACTTCTGTTCTCTTCTGAACTCTACTCTTCCTAGACTGGTCAAACGTCAGCAGCGGTGTTCGCTATGATGAACAGCGGACGGGCCGACCTGTCTGTCTGTCTGTTGACGCACGCTCCTCTGAGTACCGCCGGCTTCATTGCACAGGTGAGCACGCTCCCCGTCAGCGGCCGGCTGGTCACGAGCCCCGTCCCAGGCGCAGGTGAGCGCGCTCCCCGTCAGCGGCCGGCCAGTCACGAGCGCCGTTCCAGGCGCAGGTGCTGACGCTTCTAGCACCCCTACTGCAGCTATTCCGTAAAAGCGGTCTGCTTTTTTTGTTGTTAAGTCGGTTAAAACATGAGTTTTAATATGGCCTGTGCGGGCCTGCGTTCCATATGGAAGGGACGTGAAACAACAGTTGAGCATATGACGTGTACGGACGTCCTTAGTTCAAAGTTTTGCCTTCTGACGCAGTCTATCACTAAGCCAGCTTGCAACTTCTCTATTCTACCACCTAGGTGCGGAGGCTGTCGACCACCTGCAAGACCCACTCCCGGCTATCACATGTGATTTATGAACAAGGGCGCAAAACGCCATGTTTTCGCCCTGAGTACCTGCATAACTGTTGCGCATGATTACGGCTGGTGATAAATTTGCAGCGTGCAAAGGGCTGAGAGATTTATGAATTGGCAGTAATGATGGGGCGTGACCGAGTCGGCACGTTACAGGTGCCACACACCCTCCCACCCTGCCGTAGATCAGCGGAGAGCAGACCCGGCTGGGTCGAGCCGCCGGTCGCGGGTACCGCCTCTGGACACAGACGCTGGGATGGCTGTATTGCGCAGGTGTCAATCATGACACAGACTGACTCACAGGCCGGCGCGTCAGCGAAAGAGGCGCCGCTACCGACAGCTGTCAATCAACCGTGACGCGGCTCCATTGCTTTTCATTGAATTTTGAGCGGCATTACTAGCAGCCGTGTTTCGTCTTCAGCTCGTTTCAGCCGTGTTTCGTCTTCGTCTTCAGCGCCGCTCTCCCCACTCGGCGCCGGTCGGTGGCTCGCCACGTCACGTGCGGCGCCGGCCGACAGTCTGTCCTGGCAGCCTGCGTCGCTGGCACACATTACCAGCCGCCAGCCGGCCTGTTCCCGGCACATTCCGCGGGCCGGGGCAGCCGGTAAAAAGGGGACCGCGCGCCGAACGGTGGGGGTCCGACAGGGTCCGTCCGCGCGCCTCTCGGACCCGCACCGAGGGGGCGGGGCCGCGGCGGCGGCGGCGGCCAATCGGCGCCCGGCGGCCGGCCGGCGCGCGCCGCCGCCGGCGCCATCTTGCGGCGTCAGTTGGCTCAGATGTGTGTCCGCGAGCGCCCGGGATAAAATGGCCGGAGGCGACTGGCCCCGTCCCATCATTACCAGGCGCAGCTTACGTCTCGATTGGCATTCCATGAGGACGAGGCGCGCGCGGCCTCTGCGCTCCCCTACCCGGGTCACTCTCCCGTCCCTCCGCTCGGTGCCTCCGATGGCAGGCCCATGAGCAGAGCTCAGCAAGTGGCTCTTCTGCGGACACTCTTCAGCTGCTACCTTTTCCTAATGACAGATTCCACATGGGATGATGTACTGCGTAAATACATTGGCGGGAGCGAAGGTACACATACGAACAGATGTTGGCTTTAGTGTCCAACACAGAGTCGCTGCCTCTAGGGGCGTGCCAACGTTACGTCCGGAAGGTGGACAAATCTCGTCAAAAGAGCACCTGGCAAGATGTCCCTTTTCGGTGACTAGAGACTGTATGTTTTGACCTGATTTATGTTTTAGAAGCCCTACGGCTCTCTTGAACTGCCAAAAGGTACCTACTGGGACCGCGGCACCAAGCCCCCTGTAAACTCTAAGGGAGGGCACGGACTCAAAAAGCTCCCCTTGGCTTTACCATTGCTAAAGGCACTGACCTGGTGATAAGTATATATATGTATATATATATATATATATATATACATATATATATATATATATATATATATATATAACTATATCCCATTCGAGTACCATTTTCAGGTCAAGTTGTCCCCACAAGTGCCATCTTGACCACCAATCCTGATTCGTCCCCTCAATCTCAGCAATATAACAACCACGGCCCACACCACCACTGGCACAGATCCTAGCGAAACAGACCGCTACGCAGCCGTATGGTTAGCACAGAGCCTGGTGAAACAGGCCGCCACGCCACCGTGTGGTTAGCACAGAGCCTGGTGAAACAGACTGCCACGCTGCCGTGTGGTTAGCACAGAGCCTGGTGAAACAGACCGCCACGCTGCCGTGTGGTTAGCACAGAGCCTGGTGAAACAGACCGCCACGCTGCCGTATGGTTAGCACAGAGCCTGGTGAAACAGACCGCCACGCTGCCGTGTGGTTAGCACAGAGCCTGGTGAAACAGACCGCCACGCTGCCGTGTGGTTAGCACAGAGCCTGGTGAAACAGACCGCCACGCTGCCGTGTGGTTAGCACAGAGCCTGGTAAAACAGACCGCCACGCCACCGTGTGGTTAGCACAGAGCCTGGTGAAACAGACCGCCACGCTGCCGTGTGGTTAGCACAGAGCCTGGTGAAACAGACCGCCACGCCACCGTATGGTTAGCACAGAGCCTGGTGAAACAGACCGCCACGCTGCCGTGTGGTTAGCACAGAGCCTGGTGAAACAGACCGCCACGCCACAGTATGGTTAGCACAGAGCCTGATGAAACAGACCGCCACGCTGCCGTGTGGTTAGCACAGAGCCTGGTGAAACAGACCGCCACGCCACCGTGTGGTTAGCACAGAGCCTGGTGAAACAGACCGCCACGCCACCGTGTGGTTAGTACAGAGCCTGGTGAAACAGACCGCCACGATGCCGTACGGTGGGTACGATATGTAGCCGCAGCGAAGCACAATTTGCCGGCCGCGATCCTCTCGGGTCGTCGTCAGACGCAGCAGGCGCGCCCAAAACAAACGGTCGGACGGCGCTCAAACACGGCTCGTCGGCCGTAGGCAAACAGAGGAATCGGCCGTGGGAAAGGTCCACTGGTCGGCGCGCCGGTCGCGCCGGTGCTGCGTTCCTGTGCGGAGGTGAGGTCTCCGGCTGCGGCCTGCCTGGCGCTGCAGTCTCCGGCCGGACCAGCGGTGGTTCCATCACTGTTACCACGCACTGCGAGAGAGAAGGGGAGGGGGGCCACGTACCCTCCTTCCCGGGTGAAGAGGCCCACACTGTATACAGTTACATACAGTACATAACAGGGAAGTTTGAAGCCCGACCCTGGCTACGAGCTTCCCTGTTACCACTTACTGTCCTTGGAGTTGAACGTGCCATCAGAAACATGCTGAAAATGTTGTTTGGATTTGTGATACCCATAGGTATCCTTACCAGGTCCTTTTGCGAAAAACTAGATAAGCGACCTTGAGCCTGTTTATATTTAGATTTCACAAAAATGGTGTGAGCGCGACGGTACAATACTGGCTTGCAGTAAGAGCTCAGGTATCAGGGTTTAGTACAAGTGTTTCAAGGTCTTCGGCCATCCGAGTGAACCAGTGTCAAAATGTAAGCAATACAGCAATGTTTCCTCTTATTAGAAATATACCTCACAATTGGCAATCTTAAAAATGCAACAAGAATATTCATATGGTATGACACAAGCTGGACACGAGAGAGCGTTGGACCGACCTTAAAAAAAACATGGGGTGATCATGCACCGTATTTTCAGAGCTCCCGTGCCTCTTAACCGCTCTGCTAATCCAGGCTCATTCTGTATATTTGATTTGCCATCTGTTTGGGTACGTGAACCGGGCTTCTTATGCACAGTACGATCATTACTGCGCGCCGACGTATAATAAGCTGGTTATAGACCATGCCAATGGCGAGGAAAAAAGCGCCGTGCCTGTGTTTCATGATAGATTGAGCCCGGTAGTCTTGGTATGTGGGCGTTGTGCATATCCAAAAAGGCAATACCACCACTCATGTGCCATGCCTAATATCGTGATAAAAACTGTTGCTTTACCTAGCAAACTGGCCAGCAGGGTTTATTTACAGTGTTGAATTCCAGTGTACTGGTCGCGCAGGGTTGAGGCAGGTTGGGTGGAAGGACGCGTCGGTGACGGCAGCCCTGCCCAACCCCCGTCCAGCACGGTGTCATGGGAGAGTCCGGTCCGGCGGCGGACTGGAGCATACCTGTCCGCCATAAACGCGTCCGTCTGGCGACAGGCCTCACCAGCGCCGGGCCCAGCGCGGCGGACCCCCGGCCGGACACACAATGGAACCATTCGGCCCGGTGACGAGCCCCGTCAGCCCCCCCCCCCCCCCCTGCAGCCGTGGGAACGGACCTCGCCTGGCTGCTGACCCTCCAGCGCCCGGGGCGGGAGAGGTCGCGGACCGGGCCTCGGCCGACGGCTCCGGGCAGGCGGGCCGCCTCGCGCGCCGCTGGCCGGTCGGCGTCGGCAGCGGCCTACAGTGACCTCCACGTCGCGCTTGTAAATCCGTCACCGGCGCCCGCCGAGAGCCGCACATCAGATCCGTCACGGTGGTAAACCGACCGTGGGAACCCCAGGAGCCGTCCCGCCCCGTGCAGGGGGGCTGTGTCCCGCCCCATCAGCCGCCGTGTGGTCCGGAAGTGCGCGACTGCGCTGGAAACAGGAGCCGATCCTGGGCGCCGTTCAGCGAACAAAACGCGGCGCTGTGTCCGGTTCCGGACGCTGGACCCGGATACAGCGTAAAGTTCTGTGCGGGGAACGGTAGGTTATGTTTCTGGGTAAGTGGACGGTCAACATGACTGTTTGGACAGCTTCTCTGACAGCGATTAACGTTTCTAGTGAAGTGGAGGTGCTGGATCACAAGCATGCTGCAACAAACCATTTCAGCGCAGCACCAGGCCCTTAACCTGCTTCAAAAATGATGTCCTCTCGGCTTACATGCCTGTATGTCTATGCATCGGCTCTGATAACGATTCGCTCCAACAGGAGCAGAGCGCTTTCGGACAGTGGAAAACCATCTAGAGTACGTTTTTCGC